GTCGCATGTTTCACATTTCATTTTCAATCATATCATTTCATTTCCGACGTCCACCCGTGTGTTCCGTCAGTCTGTCGGTCGGTCGGTCGGTCCAACGTTGTCCGTCCCATCCCTTAAGTGGGGTTTGTGAATGACTGTGTTTGTGTGTTTATATGTGTATAAGTCACACTCCGATCTTTGGGCGGGATAGAACTCTGCAAACAGAGCAAATCCACCGCACCTTGACTGGTGACGGAATAGCTTTCCCCCTGGGGGTGCTGAATGTGGACGTGTGACTGTGTTTATTGCTAGAATTTTACCTTTAGTGAACGGAACATTGGGATGCATGTTTATGATTCTTTTTGCCATTGCGCTTTTTGCATTCGTGATTGAGTGAGTGTGGAGAGTGGATTTTTTATTTATTGGACTACATCTACATTGCTCTTTTGGGATATGTGTCCAGCCAATGCCATTGCTAAGATCTGACTGCACTTGTTTAGTCTTTAGGCACCATTGCAGGTATAGGAGTGTATCATCGAATGTTCGATATAACCTAACAGAGTTGTGTTCCAAAGCTGCCATGCTCTCCATAAATGATGCTTGAGCCAAATAAATCCTATCAGCTCATGAAGATCATGACTGAAGAGGACCAATCCAGGGTTTTCAATTGATAACCTTCGATAACGTCTGCAATGGTGAATTTTCATTGCAGACGTTTTCGACGATTATCTATTAAAAACCCTGATTCCATCCCTATCAGCTCAGGATATCGTAGGTACAAGGTACGCTCTCATAAAGTTCTTACCGAAGCTAAAGCTACTGCCATTCAAGCAATTTTAGCTGCAGAACAGATTGTACAGCCAAAAATTGGCTTATGCAGCTAGTTTTGTGTGTGTATAAGCTACAGCTAAAATTGTTTGTTGGGTGTATCTGTATTACTTTTCAGAGCCTTCAATCTTCTGTATCTGGATGCATTGCATTTGAAATTAAGCTCACTTGAATTGAAAGGAAAATCTAGATTTATCCAGATTGTGCTCCAGTGAGCATTTGGTTCTACAAAGTAACTATACACTTATTTTGAAAACTGATTAACTGGGATTGAATTATTTTGGGAACGAATCTGAAGTCTTTCAGAATACTGAAATGCATTTTTCAGGTAAGGTATCTTTCACTTCCGGTAAGAGATACACGTACCGTTTCAACTTGTCCCGGTGTACCTTAATAGGCATGGTGAGGAGCTTTAGCTCATTTTCGATCATTTTCTTAGCATTATGGATGATTGAAATATGTCGTCTACACTTTTGTGGTAGAGAGAGTTGTCCTAAAATATGTTACAGTACGCGTCAGAAGTTTTGGGAGAAAGCGTGACTCAGTGGGAGTAAAAAAAATCGAAAACTTAGGGAAATCATATTGGGATCGCTCCTTATTCGTTAAAGACTTGGCAGCGTGATGGGTTTTTTTTACGTAGGACAACGGTTGTGATTTCTATATGGGGGTAAACTTTGTGAAAACCAAAAATGGAACATGTAACAAAACTATGAAAGATTTTGAACGTTAATAACTCAGCTGCCCCTGGACCAATTTCAATAATTTTATCACCAATCGGTCAGATGTATTTCTACGCATCTGTTGGAATTAAGACTTCATCATTTATTTAAAAAAAATTACTGTTGAATATTACACGAATGTGCAACTGTTGCAATGATAGGTCAAATTATCACCGATTGCATGCGTAAAGCAATTTCCCTAACACAGATTTCAAAGTTGAATTCCATCCGGTCTCACCAAATGGTGTTTATTCAACCATCGCGTGGGGAGTGGTGGTGTTCTCCAGTGCACAACGAAAGGCTCCCAGCAAGCAGCTAGCTATCAAGGCTGGCCTTAACCGCTGATCGGATTCAGTTCCAATCACCGTGCGTGGTCTTTTCCGTTCGTTGGCATTAGCTGTAGCAGCAACAGTGCTTTCGGAGCGTGGCGTTGAACATTGTTCTCCAGTACACAACGAAAGCCTGCCTACAAGCAGTGAACTGCAGACAACATGAGCACCCATAGGGGGCCATGCATTAATTATGTCACGCTAAATCGAGGAGAAATTTACCCCCTTCTAACGTGACGTTTTTTCTTTACCTAATGCATTGCTTGTCACAAAATCTTAGACCGAATGGCAGACGTGTCGTTAGAGAAAACAGCTGTTTCGTGTACTGCCGGTAATCGCAAGTCAGTCCCATCTGCATTTTTATCAATTTTGAATTAGCATCATTATTCAGTTTATCTTTCTATGTTTTTTGAGATGTGCTATTGAAAAAAGGTGGTTTGTTCAAGAAAAATGAAAAACAATGCCAAGTCAAATCGTCCCACAGCGAATCAGTCCCATTAGATAAAAAATGTTAGAACTGTTAGAACACACATCGCATCATGAAATTTGTGTCAAGACAGATTTTGTCCACTTCCCCTAAGGTATCTGTAACATGTCGGGATGTGGCAAATATAGTTCTTACGATACTCAGTTTGACCGCCAATGGATATGGCTTTGAATTATTATGTGATTTGATGTGTCGCTTGATGGATTTTTTATTTAAATAGGATTTACCACTTCCCCGGGGATACCCGGAACATGTCCGAGTGTGGCCAACATGGTGCTGGTCACTCATCATGACTCTTATTGATCTTATTTTTGAATTCTCATGTGAATTGATTTATCGCATGGTGGGTTTGGTACGTTAATGAAAAGCTCTGGTCTGATGAAGACCCATACTAACCGGAATATGTTCCGGCCATTGCACTGGAACCAGCAGAACAAATCCAGAAAAAATCAATAACGTTCTATGGAACCATGGTATCTTTCCTCTGTTCAATACTGTGCTAAACTAATGCAGCATCGTCATGGAATTGTGACTGACTTGCGGTTATTTTTCTCATTCACGTTAAATGTAATCGGAAGTCAGTCCCACTCACATTTTGACCTTAAAATTTCACTATATTTTTCCAATATATTTGGGTAAACATAGAGGCATTCTATAACATTGTACATTTATTTTTAAACTTACCCCTCCAAAATAAGTGTCAAATCAGAAAACTTGAAAAATATTTGAACGCCGTTTTCTCATTTCCAGTTTTTTACAGATGGGACTTACTTGCGATTATGGGCAGTGTAAAAAGATAAACATTGCGAAATACGAATACCACCAAACATTTCCACATTTCATTAAAACCAATAAGCCGGTTAGGCCAGACCTAGTATAATTGACATCGGTCCAGGACAAGTCCATTAGACTTCAAAAGCATATTGAGAAACAAGTCCAGAGGCTACAAAAGGAAACCAGGAAACGACTTCAGCAATGATATTAATAAATCCAGAAATTTCAATAGACAAGCTACGAGATCTTCAAGAAAGTATAGTGAGTTCAAACGTCTTCAAAAATCCAGAGGGAATCAATCGCCACGTCAGCAAACTATAAGACTTGATCCTGAGTTCTCATCGGCTCTAGGGCTGGCAAACGTAATTTTGAATGAAATATCTCACGCGATTTTTACAGGGTTGCACTTGTCGCTATTATGAGAAAATGAGAAAACCATGATAGAGATTTTATTCAAAATATCATCAATTTCTTTATCATGACATGCCCAAATTAATGAAAATCATTTTATATCAAAACCATATGAGAATGAATCTCTTAGAATCAGTGGAAAATGACCTAAAAGGTCATGTTAGGTAGTCTCGTCTCCTGATAGCGAGAGAACCTTTATTCTCATGACAGTCCTGATATTTAACAGCTCTGCTCAGTGGTAGAACTCAATGAAAACTCTTACTCGTTTTCGATCTATTTGAACTATATATCCACCGCTATTTCTAGACTTTCCTCCAACCGGTCGAACTGATAACGAACAAAAAATCAGCTCGATTAGTCGGAGTACAGCAGAGAAATAGCGGTGGGTCTACTGTACCACCCACCGTGCTATTCGGAGGATTCCTGTATATCAAGTCAATTTATTCTTTAGTTCCGAACAACCGAATCTAAGCTAAAATTTAAAAATATTCCACAACCATCAGTCTTTATTTTTTTCAATCACTCTTAAAATATTGCTAAATCTACATAAGTGCAACCAGATCCAAGCCATTTTCAAATTTACATAATAAATACATTTACAAAATTGGATCATTCATCTTCCGAGTACCACTACTGTGCAACGGTGTGCAACAATTCAAACCTTAATTTAAGTAATAAGTCACCTAAGTCCGAACGTGAAGTGTCACAACCTAACTAGTAGCGTATGTTTGTGTATGTGAAAGGGTCATCGGTGAGGGACGGAGGGGGAAGCAAAATGTGTTCCATTTTGTGACCGTGTGTGTGTAAGCCGATAGAGACTGCCGATAGAAATTGTGAGACAGTTTGTGTGGATGGACAGCGATTATACACAAGGTGATGTGAAAATGAAATGTGCACAAGTTCACTCAACTGTATAACTGTTTAATCTAAATCGAATGGAAGAGGGAGAATCCATTGTCTGCAAAGGGCAGGGCAAGGAGGTAGGGGGGGTTGTAGTAGGGAGACTATAGATATACACTTTAACTGTTTGCTCGATAAGAGACTAACGAAGAGTTGAATGATGCAAATGATATGGAAACAAACATACTTAGTTGCTATTGTTTTATGTTCATGACAAATTGGTTTTGTTCGATAAATACATGGGAAGGTGGTTAGATTAAGGGGAAAATTGCATTTGTTTTTTAATTGCTTAAAATAGAAAACTTTTAGTTTTAGCATTTTGTGGTGTTTATGGTTTTGAGAAACTTAAGAGGGACAATACAAATTGGTTAGTAGCTATTATGCTGATGTTGCTTATCTTTAAGGTAAATACGTACGAAACACAAGAACAAACTTAAGAAGCTTACTAAGAAACGGTAACGAATATTCAAACGAAAGGAAACATTTTAAATGGTAATTTTAATTCCTTAATTTAAGAAACAAAAAACTTAATAATCAATAAGAAAAACAGGTACGTAGTCATAGTAGTTGTACCATTTTAACTTCAGACAGCGAACTGATAGACAGCACATACATGGTGACTCCCACTTCAACCGGCGGTCCTGAAACACGGATAACGTGGCAAAATATACGCGTCATTTGATAATTAATTGCAGGCATTAGAAAGGCATATATTTATCGTTATAGAAAAAAATGGGGATCATAATTAGGAACATCTCTGTGCACATTGGTTGACACCTGTCAAAGTCCTTCACTCTGTTGAATGTTCTCTCATATCGGTTATGTTTAGTTCACTTGACACATGGTTCGTTCGGTTATAGTAACTCACTCAATAAGAAAAGATTTCCGAAAAAATACTGTCATGAATACTATTTGCTTTGAGTCTAACAACAGAATTGTATCTCCTATGAAAATCAACTGCTAAGAGGATAGGCTGCAGAGGAAGAGCTACATCGTTCCTGTACTTTGACTTCGCTTCTAGCTCTGGTCCTATACCGGTCAATCGAATTCGCTATCAAGCTCTAAACTGTCTGTATTTCAACTTTGGCTTCCCTCAATATCCTCGCTTAACTATATAGAGTTATGCAACATACAGAATTATCACACAAGCTCACTCGGATAATGTTCTGTACTTGACGAAAAAATATATGCGCGGAGAAACCAAAACAAGGAAGACAATAGAGATATCTGCTGAATGCAGCATCCGAAATGAACGAAAAACTCGACAACATGAGCTGGCAGTAAAATGACACACATTCAATTCAATACATGTGCCTGGTGTCGGTCGATGACGGTATAGGTAGTTGGTAGTAGTATTTGGACAAGATTGTTTTTCCATGTTTTTTCCATTAGAAGAATGGAGGAACACAACGGCCAGGCTGTGTTTGGATCTTCCTCGACTGCACGACCGTCTCGGTGGGGGTGGTGGTAGCAGCGAGGAGAGTAAGTAGGGTATGGGGGGATGCGAAGTTTTAGGTCAAGCAAACAGGACGGTGTTTGAACACAGCGATGTAAGAGTTTAGAATCTGATAATACAACTTGGAATGCAACTTTCTTTAAACAAAAATTGGCTTTTACCCAGGTTTTATGGGTAAAGTAGAAATAGCGTTTACAGTCAGGAATCCTTATGCCCGGATGATTGTTTGGCTGTTTTTTTTTCGGAATCCTTGATATTTGGGCATCGACAATAAGAACACTGACCGTATATCCAATATCCTTATACCGGACAAAAAACCATCCACGATAAAAGGGACGGGCCTGAGTACCTTCTTGCTTCCCTTTCAAGAAGACCTTTCTCAAAGATCTATCATCGTCATTTAGAATTTCTTCCACTGTCTTTCCATAAATTTTCCGCGAACATCAATTTGCTTAGATCATAAATTTTCTATAGTCATCATTCATTCACATAATGATGTAGATAACAAGGTCTGGTAGTGTGAATTTGTGTTCCGCTACTCTTATTTAACAAATTGTGTGACGTCAAACTCCACGTTGTATAACATCAACAGGAGAAAGAAACAGGCTACAAATTCACACTACCAGACCATTTCCCTACTACGTTGCCTTCCAGCGTCCTTTAGTTAGAGCGATTATAGTTCTCCAAGTAGAATCTCACGTATACAAGTTAATTCAATTTTGTAAGACTTCGGTTTTTGACAGTTCTCACAGCATTTTTCACTGCTACCGTAGACCCCCGGTAATTTGACCGTTTTTAATCTGAACCCTTTTAAGTTTGAACCCCACTAATCTGCACACCATGCAAACTAAAATTTTCCCAAACGTCATTAAGTATATGGAATGGACTAAAGGGAAAAATAAAACAGCAAACAAGACTGACAGAAAAACGAATTTCAGATACTCATAGGGTTACTAGACGCTCAAATTATGAATAACGGGGTACTTATTCATGAAGTGTCAGATAAGCGGGGGTCCACGATACACATATGCAGCTGGAGAGGGCTGTACCGTGAACCCCCGTTAACCCTATAACCATCAGAAAAAAGTTTGTGGTAACCTTATTTGCTGTTTTGTTATGATTCTGCGTTCCGTTTCGGATCGTTCCATTTCAGTTTACTCCATTCCATGTGCTAAATGACGTGCGATAAATTTTTAGTGTGCACGGCGTGCAGATTAGTGAGTTTCAAACTAAAAACTGTTCAGATTAAAAACGGTCAGATTACCGGGGGTCCACGGTATTGATTTCTATAATCAGTGACGTCATTACTCGATTGCTAGGCTAATTTTACACAATATTTTTGCCACGAAAATCGGATCAAAGTGAAAATCTCATATAAAATACTCGATTTTTCACCAGCGTGAAAAATGTAATTGACAAAATTTCACTTCGCTGCGAACTGTAAACAGATGCGCTCGTGGAAAGAACTAAGCAAAAAGTTGACGTTTCGAGAGAGAGAGAGAGAGAGCTTATCTGTCAGATTTTTACTGAACTGAAATTGGAATATGTTCCACAACCTTTTTCGCTAGCGAAATTTCATGACTTTTCACATGCTTCAAATTTCTTTTCGCTTTGAACTGAAACATCGATTTGGACCTGCACGTTAACGTGAAAGGACCCATTAATGGTACCCTGAAGGCAAGACAGCTGGACTCAGAGTAAATATAATTGCAGCAAGTAAATTTGAGTTACTCATATTTACTCAAAAATGAACAAAGTAGTCTCGATTTTCTGATCAAAGAAATATCGTCTGACAGCATATTTCGTTTGAAGCATCTGTTCGCACATTTGACAGATCGAATCGCTCGTTTAACAAATCGAATTGTGGACAAACGAAATGCTACTGTGGTGGTTTGACTGCACGACGGTATTACGGGGCTTGGATGCCTTTCAGGCGCCTTCCCTCGTTGGTGAGGATTGACACGGCCTAGGACGATACAGGATTGACTAGAGTGACCCGTTCCAAAAGGGGAATGCTCCTTTTCGGTTAGCTGAGGTACAACCTGAGCTTGAAACTTCGTTCATGGTCAATAAAATTGGTCCTTGACTGCTGATTGTGGTATATTATGTAGCTGCTGATTCTAGGCCAGATTAGGTCAGCTCTGGCCAGCTTCGCCAGCGGAAGAAAACCACTTCAACTTTAGCGCTTTGCCAGCAATCGTAAATGTATCATTGAAAAAACGTTGCCAGATGTATTGCCTCTAGCAATGAATTAAAGTTTATTAAAACAAGCAATTGTGAAATTTGACTGGATGTATTTAATGGTGAATAAATATCAGAAACTGAATAAATTAAAAAAAAGACCATTTTAGGCATTTTAGCGGTCCAATTCAAAAAATTACAGAAGATTGAATTCAACGCTAACTGGAGAGATGGTAGCAGTGCCACACACTATATTTCTCTAAGAATTGAATTTATTGAATTAATTTAGCCTAATCCGAACCTATCGAACCACCCCAAAAGTCTCTACACAGAAATTCCAAGAAAGCACCTCAACTAACTTTGCTTGACAGCATCGGTTTCAACGTAATTTTTAATATAACAATCAGGTTGCTATGAGTATATAAGACATTGAGCAGCGTGAGTTACTCAGAGTTACTCAAAATTAACTTCGGTTTTACTCATGATCGATAGCTGTCTTGCCCCCAGATGGTACCTATTAAATACCCCAAACTGTTACCTATTAAATACCAATAATAGGTAACAGTAGCTCATTACATGAGTAACAGTTTTATCTATTAATGAGTTAAGCCACTTTTCTTCAAAATAGATTAAATTTACCTCTATAATTGGAACTTTCAAGTTAGCATGTGAGTGAAGTGGAGAATGACTCCATAATCAAACAAAATTGAACTGCCATACCTACACGGCCGCTGAGAATACCTCAGACAGCGAGTCACTTCTACTCAGAGTTATGGAGAAATGTCAAAAAACTGCAGGCACTATAGTTTCCAGCAGTTTTTATAAATTCCTCATACTGGTTCCGTCGAGTTGAAGCGACTCTCTATCTGAGTTATTCTCATTGGTCGTGTACGGACAGTGTTCAGGAAAACTAAAATCTCATACATAAGATTATTCACCAATCAGTTTAGCCTTGCGAAATTCAGTTGCGCAAAAATCACCGATGAGTTTTCCGGTTCATACATTAATTCCTTTATATTATGACGTTATTCATTGTTCTAAGCAGTGTTGGAAATAGTGCCAAAAACTCATTATCGCAAGATGTTTTCGCTAGGGAACATTGTGGTGTGAATTTCACAAAGCGTTTGTTCTCGAGCGAACTTTCTTGTTTGCGATTGAGAGGAACGTCACTCCGGTTTTGACTCACCAGCGAGAGAGAGAGAGCGTATGTTAAAAGATATGTTTGTTCTCCATATGTGATGAAATAGATCGCAAACTAACCCGTGTTCTATTTTATTGGTAATCCCTAAGCACCCTACTCCTGCGACGAAACATGACATACAAAACAAGTAACTCAACTAGCTTGTTTCGCGATTTTTGTGAAATAGGTTTTGAGACCAAAATCAGAGTTCTCTTTCGGAATCGTTTGCTGCACTGTTTCACATATCGCTTTCGGGCACTTTTACCGTAGAACCCCGTTAGTTTGAATAGCTAAAATGGCAATTACACGGCGCTTGTTTAGAATTGGTTGAATTGGAATCACTATAATGGGGCGCAATGCCATTGGGCATTTCAGTTTAACAAATTCTAAATGAGCGCCGATTAATTACGATTTTAGCTATTCAAACAAACGGGGTTCTACGGTATTCCCTTTTCGTTTGCTTAGCTAGTTCTTCAGCGAAATGTTGCTCTAAAGAACGGCGAAAGAGCTTTTTTTTTTAACATGAACTTTCCAACATCATAATCATATAACAGATATGTTTGCAAAATCGCACGTTAGTTTATTTGATCAGGAGTGCTCAATGAATGATTTTCCAAACACTGCCCACAGGACTGGAATGCTTCTAACTTGTGAATTGGGTTCTATAATTTGGTACATTACCCGAAAGAGCTCATATTTTTGAGCTCAGTAATGTATTTTTTTCATTTTCATAGACCTGCATCCAGGGTTGCTTCCACTCACTTGCTATAAAAAATATTATTCGGAATTATGTTGTACTTGTGAGTAATAAGAAGAAGTAGTAA